AGGGCCCATATATGAATTATGTGACTTGAACCCGAATTTGATCTGTGAATCCCCTTACTTACATCTCTTGGTCCTTACAAATCACTGATCCTTACACCTCACTCGTCCTTACGTATCTCTGGTCCTTACATCTATTGGTCCTTACACATCTCACCGGTGCTTACATCTCACTGGTCCTTACGTAACTCTGGTCCTTACAGCTCACTGATAAATATGCACACCTCACAATTGTCCTTACGTATCACTGGTTCTTACCTAGAAATCAAACATTAAAAACAGCTCTCAACCCTTACATAAAATACTGAATGCTTTTAAAAAAAATATAATTATTGCAGAGACGAATATAATGCTCGCCTGTTGACAGATTATGTTTAATTAATTGACCAAATTTGTTTACTTTACTGTCTCGGCGACCAGTGTTGTTTACCTCAATCTGTGTCATACTCTTTGTTAGGCCTAATAATTCATTGGTTATTTCCCCTTGTGTTTTTAACATTTTTTTAGGCTGCTAGATCTATATCAAATGCCGTTATCCCGGCATTAGTTTTGCTACTGCAGTAAAACGTTCAGTGCTCCAGATCTTATACTAGCAGGTGAAATAGACGATGTAAGCCTATAAATAATTTTATTACTTTTTGCGTTTTATTTCAAGTTGAATGCGCCAAGCCTAGGCCATTGAATAAAAAAAAAATCAGCCAATCGCGCTGCCCTGTTGATAACAGTACTGTAGGCCTAGGCCTACCACGAGTGAACCTCATTCAGAGCACTGTAAGCCAAGCTGGTAGTTTTAGTTAACGGAAACGAGCAGATGAGGTAGATCTACATTGTTTACTTCGTTTTAAAATACAATCTATTCTGTGTGTTATGTTTTCAAATACGTTTTCTAAATAAAACTAAAAAGTACTCTAGGATTTTAGTGTAAATCTAGATTTCTATTAATGTTTTTAATTCCATGCTTAGATTTCTATATTTTAAATCGTGTCTTTGCACTTGTGGTGCAGCGATGAAAACACGTGTGACCAGACAATGAAACGAAACAAGAAATACTGACTGACAAATCTTACAATTTTTAACTAGATTCTAGATCTATATTTCTATTGTATGCCGTTGTTTTTTGTTTGTTTTTTTATAATCATAAAGGCTTGTGGGCTAGATTTACTAAAATTATTAGATCGAGACTAAGACTTAGAACTAGATTCTAGATCTAGATCTAGATCTGGTAAGCTAGACTAGATCTAGATTCTAAATAGGCCAGATTTCTGGACGATAGATTTTTAATTTCTTTATCAAAATGTCAAAATTATTTTAAAAATACAATTAGCCTAGGCCTAGATCTACTATGTACTAGATCTATCTCTAGATCTAGTTCTACTTGATTATTCAGAGGGAGTAGGGCTCAAGCGGAGCAGGCCCCACTCATATTGATAAACTAAAATCTTAAATAAAAAGGTCTGGATTGGCAAATGTGAGGTATAGCTAGAATCAGAATAGATCTAGATCTAAATTCTAAATTATTCTAAATGTAGTTAGTGTTGAGTAGTGTTGATGTTGACACAATATTCATTGAATACTGATTATTGACATTAGGCCCTCTGTCATATTAATAATTTAATATAGGGCCATATAGGGGCCTATGCCAATTTTAGAATAAAATCCTAGCCTATGTCCAACATGTTTTACATTTTACTACTAGATATAGATCTACTACAAGACTAGATTCTAGAATACTAGATCTACTAGCAATCCAACACCTAAGAAGATTATTGTGGTATTACTAGACAATCAACTGGTATAGGACATAGACTCTCAGATATTTTTTCCAAGTGGGAGTGGGGGGGGGGGGGGGCACATAAAACTTAGAAGGTCAGTAGGACAACACTGGTTTAAAAATTAAAGTATATCTATACATTTTCTATACCTATACATACCCCTATCAATGAAATAGGCCTATATATTTTTCTATTTTATGGTAAAGCGACTTGTTTTAAGGGGTTCACAGATACAACCCCCCCACTCCCCCACCAAATAAACACTTGATACATGCAGATCTATAAAATTGGTAAAAATGTTGATCTAGGCTAGGTCTGTTGTACTATTCCTAATATTTCTTTGTGTATATTGCTGATTGGAGTTATCTCAGAATGGACATGGAAGCCCCATATATATCAATCTGCTCTTATTCTTCAATAAGCTATAAAAACAAAAAAAAAATAATCTTTATACCGCATAGGTCTACAAAATATAGGCCTATAAATATATATATATAGGGCCTATCCATACTGATGTGTACAAAAAAAACTGATGTGTACAACTACAGAAAATGTCATATTAAAGAGTTTCCTTCCATACATACATAACAGAGTTTTGTGAATTGTTTTTTGTGGCTCTTCACATTGGTGGGGAGGGGGGGGGGGGCAAACTAGTCATCCATGGATAAGGGTAAAAATAAGTCCATATTTTTACAGTAGTTCAGTAGTAGATAATGTTTACCTTTATTTGTTAGATCATAAAGTAGATCCTACAGTGTTCTCTATCTTGGTACTTTTCAAGTATGTGACATAAGTAGCTTGTGTTAAAATACTCATAATACAGAATGATTTCACAGTGCCTGATTTGCATTTTATACACCATCTTGTTTTTTAAAGAATCACTTTTCTATTTAGTGTCATCAACCAGGTTTTAAAAACAGCCTTTCACTGTATTAGATTATGGTTTTTTCTGACAGTATAGCTGCAAGGGATAAGGCTAGCAGACATGCCTACCGTTCGGAATCGTTCCGCTTTTCACCTAAAAAAGTAAATTGTTCCGTCATCCCGATTTTGACTCAGTTTTAAAGTTTTTTTTGAAAAAAAAAATTCTTAAAGCAAAGTAATAAATTAAATTGACAAAAAGGCAGGGAGAAGCGATTATCTCCCTTTGGCACATTTCCATTTTGTAGTTTACTTACTTACAATATTACCACGTTTTCTTTAACTTGCTTTCTCTGTGTGTTTATTTATTTGTTTGTCTTTCCAATCCAATCTTGCGATCGAAATTTCTGGCACTTCCCAGTTAGCTAGCGCGCTGAAATTTTCAGGGAAGCTTTCTTTTGGATGACCATTGAATATTCAATTGTTATTATTACTAAATTGATCAATGGAAACATTTTATTGAGCATTTTAGACCGCTATATAATCTATATATATAATTCTCCTCTGCTAGCCATTACAAAAAAAAACCAGCGACGCGTACCTCGCGCGCAGTGAAGCGAACGATCACATGTCGCCACAGGCTTAGGGGCAGAGAATTTAGCTTGAACCGAGTTTAAACTTACAGGAGGTAGGCCAGTTAGGGGGAGACGATATGGTCGAGTGGTTGGGCACACGATTGCTATCCCACTCGACACGGGTTCAAATCTATGTGTTCTAGTCAGTAACGTATTCAAACAACGTGTTTTTTACGAGTTGTCTTTTTACGAGTTGTCTTTTTACGAGTTGTCTTTTTACGAGTTGTCTTCGTTTACCCAAAAAAAGTGAAAAGATAAAATCGATAGCAAGATTTTAATGCAAACAAACAGACAAAGACTAAAAAGTAGAAAATAATAATCATTAAAAAAGTTTTTAAAAACCCACGTTTTCTGATTGAACTAAAAAGTAGAAAATAAATGCTATAGGCCCTACATCACAATAATGCAAGCGATCACTCTACTATAAGCGAGCAAAAACGTGGGGCGCCGTGATTTTCTTACAGTTTCTAATACTGTTGACTCTCTACAAGCTCCCTAATAAAAGTCAATAGTATTATCTAATCAATAGTAATATAACTTTTACTTCGGCGCCCCACGTTTTTGATCGCTTATAGTAGAGTGATCGCTTGCATTATTGTGATGTAGGGCCTATAGCATTTATTTTCTACTTTTTAGTTCAATCAGAAAACGTGGGTTTTTAAAAACTTTTTTAATGATTATTATTTACAACAAGCCGACCCGCAGCGTATCATACGCCGCTATTTAGTTGTTTTATTTTCTACTTTTCAGTAATTCATAATTTGTAAATTCGACAGTACCAATGCTGCCACTGAAAATATTTGCTTTAAAACACTAACACCCCCACTTTCCCCTAACCCCAACCCTACACCCCCCCCCCCCCCCCGTGAAAGCAGCCTCCTCTTAGTTATTTCTTAGTTACCTCCTGTAAGTTTAAAATCGAACTAAATTATCTGCCCCTAATAGAAACCCGACTCTACGGCTCTTCGATTTGTAAACATTTAGCTTTGTAAAAATTTAGAGTGAACACCGCTCACCAGACAATGTTGGGGTGGTGTGGGGGGGGGTGATAGTGATAGAGAGAAAGAGAAGGGACTGCAAGGAGGCGCTTGCAGCTTGTTTTCTAACTGATCCCAGAAGAGAATTATATATATAGACTAGACTAATAGATAATGTGGACAATCTAGCCACTGAACGTTCTTTTTAGTATTTGCAATTAAATTGTAGATTTTAATTATGCCTTAAATAACATGTAGGAGGAAAAATATAATAAAATCATGACATATCTTGAAAGTTGTAACTTAACTCTAGTAACTACTATTATTATTATGAAGAACTTTAAAAATAGTTAAAGTAAGTAATTAGTAAGAAGTGACTAGTGTCAAAGCTATGGTTTTTATTTGGGGTGGGGGTCTCAGGTTACTGGTTAACTTTATTTTAATGTAAGCTGACATTAAGTAGTATTTAAATGTAGCCTAGAGACTTGTTATATATGGCTAGAAGCCTACTAATGTCATTAGACTAATTTTTAATTAATTATTTTTATTTTTGAATTAGTAAAGTAGCGTCCACGCATGTTCCTTTTTTTGGCTCCAAATTCCTCTTTTTAGGTATGACTGTTCCTACTTTTGGCTGACAAGGGGAGGCTTGTGAAAACAACAAAAAATCATTGACCGCCTCTGTTTTAAAAAAGTATAGGAATATTTAAGAATTGTAAAGTTGTTAAAAAAATGACACAAGTGCTTCTTTGTTTCAGTATGGCTGATTACTTAATTACTGGAGGCACAGGCTATGTACCAGATGATGGCATGTCAGGGTCTCAGCTATTTGGATCAGGTGATGGCCTCACTTATAAGTAAGTTCAACAGGCTGTCCGGTAGTCTGTATCAGGCATTCCATTAGCGTTAATGATGGTCATTAGTTTTTGTAATGCTTCATTATGTATGCAGCTCAACATTTTATCTTAATTGCATTTATCTTGATAACTTTAATTCTATATAGATCTAGTAATTCTTTAGTTATCCTTTACAATCTGTATGAACTAATTGAGAAGGGGCTAATTGAAAGAATCAATTCATCGTTGTTTGTCTTTAAAACATATTAGTCCAACACCATTTCTTATTTTAAATTAAAATGTTTTTGGTAATTTTTAACATTGGCATTCGGTTACATGTAATTTGCTAAATGACAAGATGTAAAAATTCAATTGAATTATTTTTTGACAATTATTGTGTACTACTTGTTTTTGTCAAAGTATTTTAAAAACATTATTTACCATATATACTGCCTTTCTAACATTTTTTTTTATTTAATGCAACTTATCTAGAATCAAGTATTTTTGTTGGTGTGGGATAAGGAGAAATAATTAGAATATCATTTAGTATTTATCCCTCACTAGGATAGAGTTGCATTGAGTTGGTAAATAATTTACCACACATTTTTTTTTTCAGTGACTTCCTCATACTTCCTGGTTTCATAGACTTTGCTGCAAAAGATGTGGTATGAACATTTGTTTTATTTTAAAAAGTTCTTTAAATATAAGTATTGATTTTTATTTCATGCATTTGACTTGAAATAAATGTTGCTTATCGTTACTATTTTTTTTTTTGTAGGACTTGACATCAGCATTGACCAAAAATATTAGCCTAAAAGCTCCTTTAGTTTCTTCACCTATGGACACAGTAACTGAGTCCCAAATGGCTATTGGCATGGCTGTAAGAATTTATTTTCTTATTTTTAAGGATAACTTTGTGTTATAGTTTGATCTAAGTAAACAGGTAATCAGGAATTAAGCATATATCCAACCTTTTTTTTCTCATGTATGCCTAAATATTTATCCTATCAGCCTTGCACAATAACCATTAAAAACTTACAGTATATTATAAATTTATATACATTCTGTTTGACAATACAACTATTAAGGCAGCATTTAGAAGATATATACCCATCCCGTAATTTGTTTTAGCTGGTTCATGTTGTTGTGAGAATTAAATAATGTATATGGACTGGTTAAATATATTTCTACTAAAGTGGAGTCTACATGGACATGTCAGCTAGTCTTTGCTGATGCCGAAAAATAAGAATTTATGTATCAGGCTGCTGTTACACTGCTGTAAAATATTTGACTTGAGTTGAGCCACACGTTGTTATTGTATTAGTCCACATTATGAATCTGTTCATTAATAAAACATTGGGGCTGTAAGCAAGGTCAATAAATATTATGCCCATATGTGGTTTATGTCATGCTTGGCTATTAGTCGAGTGAATAATTTTGTATAAATAATTGATTTTATGCTTACACTGATGAATTTATACACTTTAAGACTACAATTATGCATGTTGGTTGCATACCAAATCAAATAGTGATACTTGCAGATGAAATTGAAAAAACAAGTATGAATGTTTAACACCCCCCTCCTCCTCATAGACTAAAATAAGATAATAAAAATGTGTTTATCATAGCTGTGTGCCAACCCACCATAGACTAAGTAAAAAAATTAAAGTGGCCTGCAATCTTATCTCAGCTGTGTGGCCCCTCCCCTCCCATCATACATTTAACAAATAAAAATGGTCTGCAATTTTGTTTATCTTAGTTGTGTGGTGGTGTTGGTGTCATTCATCACAACTGTAAACCTGAGTTCCAGGCTAATGAGGTCAGAAAGGTCAAGGTATGTACAGCTTACATTCATGAAAATCATTTATAAATTATATAAAATATTGTTTCTAAATAATATTATGTCATAAAATGTTTACGACAATAAACTGTTGAGCATGTTTCATTTTGTTATAGATAACAATTTTGTAAGACTAAGAATTGTCTTTAATTTTACCCACTTTTGATCTAGAAATATGAACAAGGTTTTATTTTGGACCCTATTGTCATGTCCCCAAAACACACAGTGGGTGACGTTGTTTCTGCCAAAAAATTGTATGGATTTTCTGGCATACCAATCACTGTTAACGGCCACATGGGTGAGAAACTGGTTGGCCTTGTGACACAGAGAGACATTGACTTCCTGGCACACAGTGAACATTCTACATGTCTGGCTGATGTATGTAGCACTCTTTTAAAGCTGAAATAGTTTTAGTGGGTAGTTTTTAAACTGCAAGGCTTGAATAACAAATGTATTGTTCATCAGGTAATGACACCTTTTGAAGAGCTGGTTGTAGCAGAGGCTAATGTAACGCTGAAAGAAGCTAATCTCATTTTACAGAAAAGCAAAAAAGGTTTGAGGATAACTTTTGTTCTCATTTTCAGCAACATTAAAATTCATTTTAAGTAAAAGTGTTGAATTTGTGTTAATTTGTTTTTTTATTTTTATAGGAAAGCTGCCGATTATTAATGATAAAGGAGAATTAGTTTCGTTGATAGCCCGCACAGACATGAAGAAAAATAGAGAATTCCCTTTAGCATCAAAAGATGAAAAGTAAACAAATTGATTTTATTTTGGCTAATATTTATAATTGCATCTCCTATTAGTTATTTAAAATATATAAAAATGTGTGCCGCTTGTATTTTTTTTCAGAAAACAGTTGATCGTTGGTGCAGCTGTTGGTACACATGATGATGACAGAGAGAGGATAGAACATCTGGTTAATGCTGGTGTAGATTTTCTTGTCCTGGTCAGTTTTTGTACTTTAGTTCATTACTAGTTTTATTATCTGCTGTAACCATGTCTTTTTATTTTAGAGTTCTAAATAAACCAATTGCACATTTTAAAAGTTACATTTAAAATTGGATAGCAATAAATTATATGTAGTAATACAATATGTAGGATACAATATATGTATTAGCGCTAATGAAATGCCTGATAAATCTTAAGTCACACATATTTTAATTCAATTGTTACCATAATTGAATAAATAAAAAAATAAAATTCATGTTTTTGATGAAATAAAATTTTGCTAACATATCAGTTGTGTATAAATGAAATATTTTTATTTTCAGGATTCATCTCAAGGAAATTCAGTGTACCAAATCAATCTGATAAGATACATCAAGCAGAACTATCCTCAGTTACAGATTGTTGGTGGAAATGGTACGTCTATCCTTTAGTCTTCAAACTATTCTACGCGCGCAGTATATTTTTATAATGGGGTATTGTCCAGTGCACCCAAAATACTACTGAAATAAGTATATTACATTCATATCCCCTTAGAAAATGTAGGCCATCAAATTAAAGTAAAATTTAAGATAGTGACTGGGTGGAATTGCATTATTTTTTATTTTTTAAACTTTTTTCTCATTCCTACAATTTCTATTTGATTTCCTAAAAAAAATTTAAAGTTAATTTATTTTTTTCCTATTTTTTATTATTTAGAATGATTTTTGTATTAAAATGATTGTAAAGGTATTTAAAAATGATTTTGAAGGTTTGATATAGTTTTATTGCTTGTGAATTATTAAGCTATTTGGCACACCTTTAATAGCTAATATTTTTTTGTGCTGGGTTTTGTAATATATGTAGATGCTTTAAAATGGGATGTACTGGTAGTAAAAAAGCTTCTTAGCCTGGACTGTAAGAATTTAATAGCATATGAATACATATATGTGATAGGTATTTAATTGATAAATATAAAGCAATATCAACTTTGTGATAAATTTTTTTGTATTTAAACAATAAAATATATCTGATAAAACTGATTCAAGGATGATCTTTATTTAACAATAAAATGTACATTAAGTAATAGTAAATGTATTGATGTCAGTCTCCTCTTATTTACAGTTGTGACTGCAGCTCAAGCTAAAAACTTGATAGATGCTGGAGTTGATGGTTTGAGGGTGGGGATGGGCAGTGGATCTATTTGTATCACACAAGAAGGTAAGGTTGACTTTCAGTTTGTTTCTTCAACTTCTATATTTTAGCATTTCTGTAGATTGTGGTTTTACAGAATTACATTGTTGTATGTTTTAGGTATGGTGTACTAATACTATTTTTTTAGACTATGCAGTCAACTAGGGATTAATATTTTTTTTTGTTGTATGATAATTATTATTATGATTATTTACCTAAAGTTACTTATAATCGTATGCATATTTTTGTGTGTACCAGTGATGGCTGTTGGTCGACCACAAGGCACAGCTGTTTATAAAGTGGCTGAGTACGCCCGCAGGTTTGGTGTGCCAGTCATAGCTGATGGTGGCATCTCCTCTGTTGGTCACATCATTAAAGCTCTTGCTCTAGGGGCTTCAACTGGTGAGCTTTGTCTTGTATGTGTCCGTTTGTGATTGTTACCTTGGTATGGTTGTATTTTTTTGCCTGGATCAAGTGGTGAGGTTGTTTTATTATGGTCATGTTGAGTGACCTGTTATTGTATGGTAAGAAGTCTAGTCAGAAAAAAAAAACACAAATGTTTTTGTAATTTCCCTCCAGTGATGATGGGCTCCATGTTGGCTGGAACATCAGAAGCTCCGGGAGAATATTTCTTTGCTGATGGTGTCAGGCTGAAAAAATATCGGGGCATGGGGTCACTGGATGCCATGGAACAACACAAAGCTTCACAGTCACGATACTTCAGGTTGGTGGCATTTTTTTACAGGCTTGATACTTTAGGTTAGCTGCATTTCATTTTTCACAATTAATCATTATGTAATATATGTAAAAAAAAAAAATGTCTGGAGGAAAAAAGTCATTTTTGTAGTTTACTTGATTAGATTTAGTATTTGCCACCACATTAGCGCAACGGTGTGAATGAAGTAACTAGATTGTTTCCATCTCTTGTGTCCAGTGAGAGCGAAAAGATCAAAGTGGCTCAAGGTGTGTCAGGATCCATTGTTGACAAAGGTTCAATCCACAAGTTCATGCCTTATCTCATTGCTGGCATCCAACATGGCTGTCAAGATATCGGAGCCAAGAGCTTATCCATTCTAAGGCAAGTACAACAGCTATATTTCAGCAAGACATGAGTCTCCATACCAGTCATACCATTTTTATTAGCTTGCATTCTACGAAATTACATTTGTAGTTGTAGCTCCTATAGCTAATCTAACTACAGTTAACGACATTTATCATTTGCGGTTTGAATTTTTAGAATCCTACTAATTAAACAGTTAATTACATTACTAATGATCGTTTGAGGTTTTGAGTTGTTAAAACCTTAAAAATATAACATCTTACAAATAAAAAACTGTTCATGACATTTCTAATATCAGGTTGAGGTTTTGAGTTATTAAAACCTTAAAAATAAAAAAATCTTACAAATTAAAAACTGTTGATGACATTTCTAATATCTGGTTGAGGTTTTGAGTTGTTAAAACCTTACTAATAAAAGGCACTGTTTCTTATCACTGGTCTCAGAATCAACCAGGATAAAGTGCATGCTACCAAATGCAGGGTTGAAGATGTTTCCTGTGAGGTGGGGTTTTTCATTACTCTTTCCTAGTGCTGGCAAAACTGTGCTCAGAGAAAAAGCTTGAAGAGTTTAATCCCTCAGTCTCAGCGACTTATCAAAACTTGGGCTTTGGTTTTCTTGATTCAGTGGGATACCACCAAGTCTAGGTCTCAAGTTTTATATGAACACCGTGCAATATCTTCTCTTTGGCTTTTTTTTATTTTTTTAATTTTAAACTGAACCATTCTAGCTCTTTCTCTTCACAGTCTTGATGTTTAATACAAACTGTTGTAAATCATTTTCAAGTATCTGTCTTGTTGCCTTTTTTTCTAATTCATTACTTTTTAAAAAACAGTTTAATAGCATGTTAAAGTTAATTTGCTTGAAGAATCTAACCTAACTCAAATAGTTTCTTTCTTAATTTGTTCAGTTTCTTTAAATTAGATCTTTAAATTAGATAATGCAATCCTTGTACAGACTTAATTTGTTTAAAAGAAAATCAACAGTCCAGTATACTATAGTAAATCTAAACATTGATGCTGATTATCACTGCTAATCTGATTCCCACCAGTGTAAATAGTTGACTGAGTAATGTCAGACATGGGCTATGCACATCTAACATTGTATGATTGTTGTTGTACATAACTGTATGGTTACATTTTCTACCTTAAGACTTGTAAGAAATTTGAGCCATTTACAGATTACAGAACATTTTTTTGCTGTTTTCACGCAGCTTTTAAAAATAAACACATTTTTAAGTTCATTGTTGTTAGTTTGTAGAACTTTAAGTTGGTTCTTTTTTCCTTACATACATACATATAAAAAAAAACTTCATCTTAGTTTATGATTATACCAACAGATTGTTTAGATTGTTCAACCTGATATTTTTTTTTTTGTATTGCAACACAAGCCTTAGTGTTTTTTAAAATTATTCCCTTATATAATTATATATAATTAATATTATAGCGCCCAATCTTTTACGACTTACAAAATAATTTGATTTTAAAAAAAAGTTACTTACGCTGTGTTGGCAGTCTGGTTTAACTTGACCCTTATCTAAGATACTTTTTCTTCTAGATCTATGATGTATGGCGGAGAACTGAAGTTCGAGAGAAGAACAACCTCCGCTCAGATAGAAGGGGGGGTACACGGACTCCATTCGTAAGTTGTTTTTTTTCCAGCTTTATGTACCTATATTCTCTATCTATTCATGTCCCCTAGTCAAGGTCTGCTAAATCTCTGATGGTTGGTCTGTAATTATCTTCTTTCTCTAATCTTGTTCTAGCTAAAACATAATTCCTGTAACTGGTCTATCTTGCTCAATGGGATATGTATCACAAAATCTCTATGCATTCAATAAAGTTGCATGAAGAAATTTAATTCAATACAAAATATTGATTGATCTAATCCACAACTATATCAACATATAACTAAAGCCTCCTATTGTATCCATTCCTACTGACCTCATACTTTTTCTTATCTACTTCGTTGTTTTATTGCAGCCCCATACACAACAAATATTCATGAGACAGTACCAACTACCCATAACCATAGCATCTACTGTCAATATGAACTAGCTCTAAGACATTCTTAATTTATTGTCTGCCTTAATCTATCATTAGTCTCATCACATGAACAGTCAACCCCACAAAAACAAGTCTAAACCAAAATAATCTCCATGTTATCTCCCTCTTCATGACACATTCTCCCCCACACACACACCTGTTTTAAACAAAATGAGCTGATGAGAGGAACTGTCCTGCAAATTTCTTGTCATTCACTAAAGATTATGTACAGCAATTTGACATCCTTTCAAAAACCATTAAACACATGTTTTTACAATATCTACTACATCAGTTTTTTAATATTTTACACCTTTACCAGAAAAGTTGTATTTTAACAAAATAATTCTAAAAATCACTTGTTTTGATTTTAACTGTGAACTTACTTAAAAGTATCAAAGTATGGTTTTATGATGCTGGCTTTCTTAATTTTCAGTTATGAAAAGCGGCTGTATTAAGTAGCTGTGAGATGACATCAGCAAATCTCTATCACACATTCACCAAGATGTCAAGGCCCAATACTCACTCCTTGTTTACCAGGGGAGACTATTTGATATCTGTTATTCTGAGGTCAGCTGCATTAGTTTTTGTGCAATTGGATTAAAGCAATTATTTTATAAACATTTATAGCTTTGTTTCATGAATTTTTTTTATTAAGTTTAATACATTATTTTTACAAATCCGTGTACATTTTCTTTTAGTTAATCTTATTTTTTGTGTAACATTCCTGGCCACTTTAAGTGTGTAAATGTCCATCTCAATCTTTAATTTTAGATCTCAGATTATTTTAGTTCATTAAAAATTTTTTTTAAAAGATAAGAAACAAAGCAAGGTTGTGAGATCTTTTAGCTGACAAAGAAATTGTATGTATTAACAAAACTGTAAAGTTAATTAAAAAGATTTTTAAAATTTTGACAAACAAACATGGGAATGTAATGTTCAACTGATGTATGTGCATGCATTTATTATACGAGTTTACAATGCTTTTTTTTTTGTTGGTCACCAAAAGTGTAGATGTCAGATGTTAGATGCTGAAGCTCAGTCAATCATTGATCATGTTGCTGGTGGGAGCTAGCAAAAGCAACTTTTACACCATTCAATCTCTGTTCATGTCTTTTTATTTTAGAGTTGCATACTTTTTAAAACTTTATTTGAGAAGAGGGTGCATCAAAGAAAGCCATGATTTAAATTCTCTCAATTGGTAATTCATTAATTTTGTGTTCTATTTATATTTATGTACTTTTTAGTAGATAATTCTATTTTGGCATTTTTACACTCAACTTGTTCTGGCACATTTAGTCCATATTTTTTGTGTAAGAGTGGTCAAAGCTGTGTTTAGCTCTGAACAGTGTTTATTGATTCCATTTTACTGTGCTTGTTTAGATCTTATTAGAAGACAGCATTTTTACACTTGGAGCATTTCTGATAGAATAAGGTTGATGTGTTGAGGTTGAACATGTTGAAGTTGAACAAGCTGTTGTTAATGTGGTCTCTGGGTGCAACACGGGTAAGGCAGTGTCCAAATAGGTCTTTGTTCTGCCTGATGTCTTTGGGCAGTGTGGATGCATGGGTCATTGTCCTGTCAGTTGTCTGGTATTGTGAATGGCTTTATGAAGATGTGTCTGTTATTGTTTTGTTTACCTGTGATTGATGTCTGGTATTGTGAATGGCTTAATGAAGATGTGTCTGTTATTGTTTTGTTTACCTGTGATTGATGTCTGGTATTGTGAATGGCTTTATGAAGATGTGTCTGTTATTGTTTTGTTTACTTGTGATTGATGTCTGCTCTTTAGCTAGATGATGACTGCCTGACGATTGCTGTGTCTGATGATGTGAATTTTTTTTCTTGAAATTAATGAACAATATTTTAACATGTGTACAACTGTAATCTATTGTTTTGTTATATAGATAGTAACAATAAATTGTAATACTGTTTTGTTTTTTATAAATTTAAGATTCACATGACCTCTGAACTTCCAACCTATGACTTTTTTCTCTCATTACTGCAAGCATTTATTTTAAAACAGGTATTAGGGACAGCAAGTTTCTGAACATGAAGTTTCTGTATTTATTGTCAATCTTATAACATCATAGATCTACCTGCTTTATTAAAGTTGTTTATATTTAAAAAGGTTAAAAGATTGATGTAGCTCTCAGTACAGTTCATGTTTGGGTTGAACACTAAATTGTGTAACTAACATGGGACAAGTCTGGTCTGTGCTGTAGTGTAGTTTTAACTGCCATCATGCACTACTTTAGTCTTACATTATTGATTACTTTTTTCTTTTCCACTATGTCAACAAAAAAAAAAATAAAGAAATTTAAGATGATGTTTTGTTGAAATGTCTTTCTTGTTTTTTTTTTTTTTTTTGTGGTGTGTAATTCAGATGCACTCTGTAGAAATGTCTTCTTTGAACGCGCTGTGTATTAAGTATTGCATAATGAAATGATACTGTGACGATGAGAGGCGATTGATGGGCAACAACTTTCTATGAGACTTGTAAGAAAAAGACCACTCTCCACCGTTGAGAAAGTTGCTATAGGCCTACCGTTATCTGTCGGACATATAAAACCAAAGGTCACAGCCGCTGTCACCGCTAGTATAAATATATATATATATATATATATATTGTATAGTTTTTCTCCTTTGGAGGGGGGGGGGGCACCCGACCTAGCGACGCCAATGATCCTAATATATAAAAGCCCATGTGCGCACTTCTCTCTCTCTCTCTGTCCGAAAATTTTTTCGCAGGATATCACATCAGAATCTTAGCGATATATCATGGGGAACTTGATACGGACTTTTGTTGAAAATAATATGGTTGATGTTTTAAATGTATACAATTTTATTTTAGAAAAACAGTTTTAATTATGCAACAGGAAAAGTGTTTATAGTTGGGACAAGAACACCGACATCTATGACGTCACATGTCATATGTTTGAAGTACGGAAAGTACACAAAACCAATGTCGTCATCTTCCAATTTTAGAATACGAAGAAATGAACTATTTCATTAAAATTTGATTCAGATCTATAGGCGTAATTTATGAAATTTATACAATTTCCTCGGCCAAAACTAATACAAATTACTTAAAAAACAACATAAATACCTTTGAAAAGCCGGATTTTTAACGGAGTCATTTAAGTCTTTTAATCAATGTATGCATTTAATATGGCATATTGTTGACAAATTATGTATAGATATTGGTTTTATTTTTTCTAATAGGTATTAGTAGCCTATGTTATTTTAAATGTGTCGGACTTTTAGCTATTTAGTTATCTCTTTGCTTTGTCAGTAATATCGTTAAACCTTGCGTTTTGACCAATTACTAATTTATAAAATATTCTTCTAAAAAATGTATACCATTAAAAATATATAGCCCGATAATTCACGTGTAACGGGTACCAACGGCTAGTTGCATTCTATTTGTTCTATCCAGAGTTTCTTCCAGGCATTTCTTCGAGGGGGCGGACCCCCCCCCCCCCCCGAACGAAATGGAATTTATATAGAAAACATATACTTTTACCAGTGTCTACCCCCCCCCCCCCCGGAGAAAAAAGTCTGGAAGAAACACAGCCATTTGTCATGAATAAAAATAGATTTTTCCTGGAAATATCGATCTCTCCTGTACCGATAGCATCGAACCGTACACATTGGCCGCCATAAACGACCAATGTCATCGATAAACTTTGAGTTAAATCAATCGTATTTACCTTTGATTCAGTTTTATTGGAAAGTCATTTTAATCCCTCTTGATTTGTGGCAGCTATTCAAGTTCGTTGTATTGTAAGTAATGCTACCCGGGTATGTGGGGGCATCTAGAAAAGAATCGTCTTAAAAAGGTTTCAAATGCCATTTACAAGATTTGTGTAATTAAACTCTAGAAATATTTTCCCTGAAAAAATACTTTCAGAACGGTCTCTTCTTTAATCAGTCACAGTTTAGATTTATAGCTTCTTTTTACAGTCAGCGCATACATCCTAATTTTAACATCAAGATACAACCTACCATTTAAAAAAAATTAATAGGCATGGTCGGGTGGGTGAAGTTTATGTTAAACCGTAAAGTCCCGAGTTGGAAACCTTAGGTAGGTGAGGCTCGATAGCTGGCGACAGCAACCTATCTCGGAGAGACAACTCCAAAATGAAACATCTGCTGCCTTGTAGTTTTTTCTTGGATGTCCAAAGACTGTGGAAGTAAAACCGTAATGAAAAGTGCCACATTACCACAATAAAATTTTATTAATTAAATTAATTGACTCTTAACAGCACTGGCAGAATGTAAAGCTTTGTCGACTGAATTCTACTTCACGCTACGTGCCTATTATAAACATGCTCATTTAATATCTGATGACTTTGTGATTTTCTCTTCGGATCCAGAGTTAGAACAGAGTTATTGCAAAGGGTAAAGCATAGGTTCTTATTTAGTTTCTACCCGTACTCCTTAATGTGCACATCTACTTAATACCCGTGCCCTTTAATGTGCATACTACATGTGCCCATCAAAGTGTATATCTAGTTACTACCTGTGCCCATGAATGTTTATACCTAATTACTACCCGTGCCCATGAATGTGTACATCTAGTTGAATTTAGCCGGTGATTGAATGCCGAATCACATTATAAATATAATTGAAAGAGAAAAGATAAAATGAAGCAGGTGCCAACAGTGGCGTAGCCAGAATCGTCTCAAGGGGGGGGGTTTCCAATTTTTACCCGGGGACAAGCTTTCGATTTGCACACCCCCCCCCCCCCCCCCTCAGACTTTCGAATTGCACCCCCCCCCCTCAAACTTTCGATTTGCACCCCCACATACTTTATATATACCGAGGGGTCTATGGGGGGGGGGTTATGACCCCCCTAACCCCCCCTGCCTACGCCACTGGGTGCCAGTAAAGACACCATTACATACGTTGATCTCTTCAGCTGATAAAGGCATGCGTGAAATTTAAATGGCTCCTTAAGACAAATTGAAAATAGATCCACGGATTTTAAACACACTAGCTAAAACTTTCTAAGGAATTTAAGGACAAAAATAACCCACAGACAATATATCTAGTACTTATCGAACTGATCTAATTGATAGGCTGACGTTAAGAATAGTAAGATTTTCTTGAAAAAATTACGTTTTTTTTTGAAGAAAATAGATCTACCCACCCTTTTTTATTGAAAGAAAAAATATAATGTTGTTTTCACTGTTGGTAGCTTGAAAAAAGTATTAAAATAATCATATAGGGGTCGTCCGTAAATGACTTCACACTCGTAGGGGGGAGGGGGAGGGTCTGGAATTTTGTGACGGTGTGTGATGAGGGGGAGGGGGGGGGTTCAGATTGTGCGACATCACACTTTTGCATCATAAAAAAGCAATGTTAGAAAATGAATTTTAAACGTAATTTCGCGTTTTAGAAAGCTGTTTTAATAAATTGTAAAAGGAATTTATTAAAATACTCTATTTTTACAGAGTTCAGAAAAGATTTTGGAAAAATATCGATGTTTTAAAAAAAATTCATATGCAATTTTGAGGGGGGGTTGTAGGCTGAGGTGTGACGTCATGTTAGGGGGGGGTGGCTTTTTGTGACCATGTGTGACGGAGTGGAGGGGGGGGGGGAGGTAAAAATCGTCAAAAAAGTGTGACGTCATTTATGGATCACCCCATATATATATGTGACGAGCGAACATTTATCCTGCCGACAACGCCAATTGTAACGAGCCAACAGTTACCATGCTCGCAACGCCACATGTAATGAGACCTAATTGCCTGTAGTGCCACGTGTTAACGAGTTTAACCACTCATTCTAGACAACATTGACCACAGTATAGATACTCAAGATGCAGGTTCGCTATTGATCCTTTATTACATGAATCAAGAAATGCTTCATAATAACACAATAAATCAACAGGAATGCTTCTCAATAATAGTCTGAATCAACTGACCCCTAACAGTCCTTCACTAGGCTTTATATAACTGAATCCACATGTCTATAATCCTCCTTAACACAATACGGCTAACCCGTTCTATAACCGACTTGACATAGTCACACAGACTGACTGATCTAAGCGAGCGATGAAGATGGAAGAGAGCTCGCTGAAACGGGAAGAGAGAGCACGAGTCCTGCCGTGCCCTCCTATTTATGCCTTGTATCCGTACTCGTCTCCGTACTTGTATTCCTCCGTAATCGATACTTGTACTCGATCTCCGACCACCAGTTGCGTAGTTCAAACGTACAGACCGTAAAATAACATCTGCGTCCTATCCATCAAAGTTGACAGGCCGTCTGAATACCGTTTCCCAAAATAGCACGCGTTGGCTTTGAGGTTGTTATCAGCCCGACCCAATAAGCCACCTGTTATCGGTTGCATCAGACCAACACCGCGTCTCGGCCTCTCGTTCGTTATCATTTGTAACTGGTAGTTAGGCCTACCCCAGTTACATCCACCCCTGCTTTTTTTGTGTGTTTTCAACCACAAACAACGCCTGGCAGGTGCACTCCTCCAAAGTCAATCGCACAGTCGTAAAAAAAAATTTATTGTTCCACTCACTGTCCACGACGTTCCATTCGTATACGATTGACAGTTATACCTATTTCACATATCAACTGTGTCTACATCATCTTCCTGAGACACAAAACAGTTCTAGAATTCACATCCACCCTTTCCATTTGGTGCCTTCACCAGTTCACTTCTATAGCTCTTTGAACAGTCTGTTTTCATACCAGCGCGACCATGAAAGAATTGATGGTTGCTGACAAAAAATTTCGTATTCCTTCTGTTCCTTAAACTTCTCCGCGGACCACTTATCTGATGGTCTACTGTCTCTCTGCTTCTGGAGGGACCGGGATCCTCATTGTTGCCGGTATCCTCCCCTTGCGTATCGCTGTTGTTCTGTTGATGGTGATATGGTTCCGGAATGGGTATGTGAATTTCCGTTGTAACTTCCGGTTCCCTAATTGTCTTGGGTTTCTCTGTGTGTAACTGCTCTTCTTGCCTATTCCAATATTTCTTTAATTGAGCAATATTCGCCCACCGATCCGGTTTGGCGTGATCGATGGGTCTTATCTTAAAGGGGCCACCTGCTACTTTAGGCATCTCCACGACTTGCCATATCTCCTGTCCCCAGAGATCGTGGATTTTGTTTCTGCCTAACGGGTGGCTACGCAGTAATACCCTGTCGTTCAGTTTGAGTGGCGGGTCCTTTGTCTGTACCGGCGGTTCCCTTCGCCGTGCTTCATGTTCTAGTCTTTCCTGTACTACCCTGTACATTTCTCTAATTCGTCTCATATGTTCATTCACATATTCCAGTGCGGTGTATGAGCCAGTCATACTCTCCCT